CTGACAAAGTCGAATTTTATTAGATATTTTCGAATTAAAGAAAGACAATTTTAAATGAATTTTTAAAGCTAAGTGTTTATCGAATCATTTAGGAGGTAAAAAAGGATTTTGAACGATTTCACATTTAATAATATAATCCCAAATTTTTTCTCCATCTATTTGTAAATTATCAAGTTTAGCCATTACAGCACTAAAATATAAAAAGTAAAAAAGACTTAGAACGCCAAATGAAATGCCACTAACTAAATTTGATAGCAACGCACTACCAATAAAACTAAAGAAACCACTTAACACAATGACGATCTCTTACTGTTACCTTAAAAAAAAAAAGTAAGTTAGTCCAATATGTGATCTGTCAGATTTCAAAAAGATTTAATTTATACGAAATAAGACAAAGTAAGCGTAGAATTTACTTCTCTTAAGGCTGTAATTGCTGTAATGCTGTAATGTCGATTTAATTTAACATGCAATCTTACTATACTGCTGTACTGCCACCACAAAGAACTCCAGAGTTATGTGTGTTCGTATATTCGTACGTACGTGCTTTTATTGCAGTATAGTTATAAAGCTATAAAGTTTGTCATAAAGCGGAAAGCAGTTGAAGTCGATTTATATAGCCTTTCAATTTGATTGGTTAATTATCGTAATACGTAGAACAATCTGGAAATGAAGTCTAGAATAATCCGAATATTAATCATTACTAAATAAGGTGTGATTATCGATTACCAAATTTGCTAAAATCCCTGACTGTATTAGTAGAATCTGTATTAGATACATGATTGACAACGCTATTCTGCTCAAGTGGGACTTTGGTTTCACAGAATTATTTGAATTTGAGGTTGTGTAAACTTTGAAATAGAATCCGCACTGAATGTCTTGATATTCTTAATCTTATCAACTCCTATCTTTTCGATTAATTTGTAAAGTTTTATAGATCTTTGGGTTCTTTTACATAAGGTTTCCAAAGTTAATCCAGAAAGGTGTTTTATTATATCCTAGAATAATCATTTTCTTGCTGTCTGTTTTGAAATGTTTTTCTTTACCATAAGTTCTTGAACTCCCATTTCAAATCTTTTTCCATATGAGTAATGACATGAAATCTCTTTCTGTTTAGCTTGTATAGTATTTTTCCTTCAATACTTACTTTTAGAAACAAATGAGCTAGCTCAACTTCTATTGTCATATTGGTAGTAAGTATATCAATGACTTCAATAGTTTCCTCATCTGTGAACCCTGAAGACACTTCTTGAATAAAATCTTGGGCGACTATATAATCATGCGAAACTTTTGTTTCTTCAGGCTGTATCGGCACCGATTTGCTGTTTCGCTCAAGTGGGACTTTCGGTCTCACTTTTTCACTACATAATTCTTTAACCAATATAGAGGATAATTCTTGTTCCTGAAGTTTCTTCTCCCTAATTCTCTGAATTATCTCTTTACTAACCTGTTCCTCA